TGAAATGTTAGTTCTTACGTGCTGATGCAGTTCTTGTAGAACACATAGTATCGCTGCTCGTTTGAGTCCCGTGGCACGGCAACTATTTGGCCCATTCCGCTGCAGCTTGTCTCAGCCACGGAGTAGGAGACAGCACCCTCCGGCCCATCGGTGTACGTCTTGTCATTGGGCAGTGTGATGGAACTTGTGTCCGCTGGGCAACTCTCAGGAACCACCCAAGGTCCTGTCATGATCAGCATATATATATTGGTTTATTTCACAAATGCAACAAGAATTCGAGAGATTTCATACCTCCATGAAATATATGAGTTTTTGTAAACAGTACACTAAGTTTGTCAAATTCAAACACACAGCTAATACAAACCATAGCCCTAAGCCTGAAATAGGTCGACTATTTAAAACCCTAGGTTATTTTCTTTTAAATACCAGTAAATTATATACAAGGACACCAAAACAAGGACACTAAACACAACCTGTAGGCACAAAAGGACTGTACGGATTACCTACTATGCAGAGTTGTTCAACAGTTTGAAAAAGTATGGGATTGAGCTCTTTTTATAACGGTCGGTTCTTGCTGACAATTGGTCAATCTTTCTGTTCTGTCTGATCACCCTGCCGCTAACATTTCCTCTAAGTTCAGGCAACCAGTGACTGTACAGATCGGAGTTGTGTACCTTCTTGGCGAACCTAGCGCACAGAGCGACTCTTTGGTCTTCAAGTGTTTGGAGTTTCAGCACTTTCAAGGCTGAAGAGTAGTTAGTTAAGTTCTTAGTAGTTAGTAAAGTTGGTAAAATACATTTTTTACTTGGGAATATTTTTACATGTAAAACATACTTTATGTACTAACAACACTACTGTCACTTTACAGAACATTCTTTACACATTGTTACAACTATCGCAACATTTTTTGGGCGTTCTGAAAATCATCGACAGATAATATAACTCACATGACCCACATGGCATTAAGTTAATTTTTCAGTGTAATAAAAAAATAGACCGGTATTTTTTTTGTTACGACTTCTAATGGCTGAAGTTATGTTATTTGTTTTGTTTACTTTTATCTTAAAGTAATAGAATGCTTATCTAGTCCTCTTCTCACACATATATAAACGATGTCAAAGCAACAAAGCAATATGGTAACAATGATAAAGAAAGGGAAAGATATTTTTGTTATGAAAGTTCATCTGTGTTGTTAGTTTGAGGCTGTAGGATTTTTGGACTCTGAACAAGACTATTTGAGAGGTGTGAAGGAAGTCATATACATCAGGGCCCATCACCCTTCATTGAACCGCGACGGGGACCGACATCGTCTACCAGATACCTTTGACCCAGTGTTGACGTCACACTTCAAAGAAGCCACGTGACAAGCTTCACTGGGTAAGTCTACTGAGGAAGACCAGAGTGACTGATCGAAAGCTCTAGGTGAGATTTTTTGTGTGTGTGGAACATGAAACATATTTTTGTAAAGATTACATTGGATTTAATTAACAAGTTTATTGGAAATTCTTGCCCGGATGCTAATTGCAAATCATAAACAAACAACAGTATTGATAATACATGGACAAATTTCACTTCGAAATTCACGTTATATGGCCATACCTGTTGTGGTTGATACAGCAGCTCCTGCTGTTGATGAGACCACTGTGCTGGTAGCAGCTGGTGTGGTGGTTGCAGCTGGTGTGGTGGTTGCAGCTGGTGTGGTGGTTGCAGCTGGTGTGGTGGTTGCAGCTGTCGAAAAATGATTAGTGTAGAAAAAGAAAATGAGAAAAAAAGACAACAAAACGTTATATAGTCATTAATCATTAATCATCCTGCTGAAGGCGACAGTGGTCTTTCTACATTTGACCTCTGTGTAATCATTGTGTTGAAATAGATTTTTATCTTTAACTAAGAGACGATTTCATGCTTATCAAAGACGTCTGTTATTCTTACATTTACTTAATATGAAACTCAAATTATTCGTCCATGTTTGCGTGCTTAAATTTCTCCTTGTATCACAAGCCCCTGATACAGCTTTAGTCCCAATTGAAAAACGGGGCCCTGGTGGGTAGTTCCCGGTCGTTTTTTTTTGGGGGGGGGGACTTTCGAGCGTGACCCCTGCATGGCCCCGTGGGACACCTAGCGAATACCGGGTTATTTTTTTTGGCCCGTTCGGGACTCAAGAAGAATTTAACTCTGACTTTTAAGTTTCCAATGCAAATCATACAATGTTCAGACTGTTCAAGGGGCCTTTCATGAACGAACACATCGAACCCCCAGTTCTATTTTGAACAACACCTCGGTCAAACTCAGAGCGGGATAAGGAATTGAAGAGCATTTAAGAGCAGGATAAGGAATTGATGTCTACTTGATAAATACTCCTGGTTTTACCGCTGGTAAAACTGAATTTGAGACATCGGAGACGATTTCAAGTTAATCAAAGACGTTCTGTCATTCTTACACATGTGTGTGTTTATGAAGCTGTCATTATTGTTTATGTACATGTTTGCGTGCTTATAATTGTCCTTACATCACAAAACCCCTTATAGGTTGCGTCCTCCCTCGTGAGCACCCCAGCTGTTTTTTTTTCATGGGCTTGTATGTAGTTACGATGCATGTAGCAAATGACGTGGAAACCCTGTTTCATTTCAACAGCTCGGCCGGGCGCCGGTTTGGAAATGTGACCTCAGAGTAACTAATAATTGTCTTGTATCAAACTCCCATCACACACCATCAAAGGGACATCAATTGTACTACAAACAAAGAAACTCTTCAAAACAAAAATTGCTATACATTACCTCTGGAACAGAGTGCGTGCTTGTTGTTGAAGTTATTGCCATCGACGCACCAAGTAGATGATGTGACTCCACACGCGCCGTCGTTGCTTTGCCAGCCCCGTACAGCCACAAAAGTATCATGCAGTGGCTCGCATGCCTTTGGAATCACGGAACCACACAAATGATATGCTAGAACTTCGTGACTTTTTTCTGTTGATGATATTTCAGTCCCAACCGGGATGGTTTGACAGTAGGAAAACCAAAACTCTGGTTTCGCGTCTTCAGGTCTGTGGCACACTGGTTGCATCCCCTGGGCTTCGCAAGCGGTGCGGAGGCTGGCACTGATCATGCTTCCAGTCACGGGTACTTTGTAGATGTCAAAGCCGTAATACGAAGGCATCAGTAATGAATATCCTGAACAGAAATTAAAAACAGAAACGTTTCACGTAATTATACAACTGACGTTTCGAGTTAAAAACTTTGATCCATCACAAAGTTCTCTCGCCTCGAGCTTTCGACCAGTCACCCTGGTCTTCCTCAATAGACTGACCTAGTGAGACTTGTCACGTGGCTCCCGAAGTGTGACGTGCGACGGGGGCCGGCATCACCTACCTTTGACCTAGTATTGACGTCATACTTCAAAGAAGCCACGTGAAAAGCCTTACTTCGTCAGTCTTCTGAGGAAGACCAGAGTGACTGATCGAGGCGAGAGAACTTTGAGCTGGATAAAAATTGTAAGTACAATGTATATACACACAGATAAATTTTTATAAAGTATTGTAAATGATTTTCCAATGATCATGCAAATGAATTCCTCATTTGTAATTAATATTATATCAGTTTATTATATTTGTTACGCGATAATCCTAGCAAATAAAGCCATTCTAGCATGTTCTCTAAGTTAGGAAAATTACGTCTTGGCTGAATTGAAAAAGGCTATGTTTCATATGATGTTTACCTTTTAAATTTATGCATTAATTATTCAAATTAGGTCTTAATTCATATAATCAATAAAGGCCGATGTTCCTTTCGCTACTAATTGGAACATAACAGATTAATACAATTTACTTTTCAGTTATGCAAGTTAAATTATTTGCATTATAGTTATGTCAAGCATCACTCAAGCTACCTACATACCAAACATTTGACAACCTCTTCTCAAATTATCATTTCTTAAAGATTTTTAAACAAACGCACCTGCACATCTTAAACATGCCGCTAGGAGGGCAAAACCCATGTCACTTCTTTCCAAGCAAGAGACCCATTCAACATTTAAAACTCATGTCCCCGGCAGGACCTGATTACTCGATTTCAGCATAGAATCGGTTAAGTATCAATAGACCAGGTGATTCAAAATGTAGCCATTTAGTGGTTTCATCAACACTACATCTATAACAAGTTTCGTAAAATTCCATGTACAGCTTCTTAGAATATCTTGCTAAACCCAAAAAGTATGGTATGAAAGACAACAAACAAGAAAAATTAATAATCGGAAGTATTTCCGTATATTATTGATAAAGATTATTGATTTTTTTGTTAATTGAAACAGATTGACTTGAAAACGTGACGTTTGGACCCGAACATGTTTAATACGTCCGTAATTTTGACACGGAAATGGGGAACCATTATGTATGTGGGGTTTCTGTTTATGAACCCAAAAACGTGACGCTATAAGCCCGTCGGTTTGACACGGAAATGATGCAATCGGGAGTATTCACATAATATCATATTTTTAAAAACTGTACAAAAGTAATTACATATACATATATTAGGCCGTCTTAATACAGGAACTAACTAGAGAACTAACATTTGGAAAGCAAATGCATAATGTTTACCTTCGGACATGGTCTGCCCTACCAGTTGATTTTTACTCAAACACATTTACATAGTATTACATGTACGAGTATATGGTGATAGGAGTAGAGCAGACCTGTTGCAATTGCAATGAAATTGCAACATTATGTAACCTAACACCATGTGCCATGGTGACGTCAACAAGTCATGTCATTGGTCAGGTCAGAGGTTAGTGTGTTTGGAACAGAAGAGGAAGAGGAGGAAGAAGAAAATGTGTTCCTTGGGTAAACATAACAAACAAACAAACAAACAAACAAACAGAAATGTTAGATGGCTTTACCTGTTGTGGAAGTTTTAGCAGCCCCTGCAGTTGACATGGCCGCTGTGCTGGTGGCAGCTGTTGTAGTGGTCACGGCGGGAGTTGTTGTTGGTAGAGGTGGAGTTGTGGTGCCTGTTGTAAAATATCCAGTGTAGAAAGAAAAAAGAATAAGGCGTTTTGAACCGATAATTTGGACAAGATATCATTAGTATAACTAGAGTTCCCCGATCTCATACCTTCGCCAAATAATGTTAATCTTTATGACTGACAAATAAAGAGTTTCCCCCTTATTTAACAAATAGGATCATTATTTTCATGTATTATATCAGTTTATCATATTTTCATACATTGTACAACCAAAAGACAGTCTTATGTTAACAAACAATGCAATTCTAGCATTTCCTCATAAATTATGCAAATGAGGTCCTGATTTGAATACCTTATGTTTAATGATGTTCACCTTCACTGAACTTTCAAATACCACAAGTATGAAATTCCAGGCATTTATCATTACAGAATCATAACATTTTCTCATTAATTATGCAAATTAAGTCTTCATTTACATAATTAATATCTGCCTGTGTTTCTTTCGTTCTCAATTACCAATCTCAGTAGCTTCAATAGTCCTATCATGGAATACAGCTGATTTATAGAATTTCCCCATAAATTATGCAAATTACATCCGTATTTGCATAATTGTCATATAATTATATCAAGCATCAGGTAAGCTACCTACATACCAAAAATCGCGACGATCTGTCAACCGGTTCTTGAGTTATCCTCTTTTGAATATTTTCAAACAGATAGCCCTGCAGTTCCAGAGCAAGCCGCTAGGGGGCCCAAACTCATGTCACGTCTTCCCCAACACAAGAGCTATCTACCATCCAAATTTTGTCACCCTTGCATGTCTGGATCCTGAGATATCAAAACCGAAAGTTCAGCTGCAGTACCATAACAAGCCGCTAGGCGGTCCAAAATCTTATCATTTTGAGGTCTCATGAAGACCTACCCACCTACCAAGTATAAAGGCAATCCATCAAAGCCTTTTCGAGTTATCGTGCTTACACACACACACACACACACACACACACACACACACACACAAACACACAGACACACGAACGCCCCTGAAAACATAACCTTCTTTTTTTGAATGTAACCTGGTAAAGACAGCTGAGCAGTTGATAAAACATCTCCCTGACCGCCCACTTTTACACACTCTCTCTCTAAAATGGTATCAGACGGGGCTAATGGCTTTTTCCGTGAACAACAACAACAAAAATCATCTCATTTAAGTTATACTGTAATTAGTTTTTAAACTTTTCCAAGTCTCGTTTCATAAGACTTAGGGCGGGAGGGGGGCGAGATCTACGAAGGCGGGGCGAAATCGCTAGTGATTTAACCCCTACTGGAGGGCGAAATTGCTGGGGGCAGGATCGCTGTAAGACCGGGCGCCAGATTAGGAAATGTAACCGGGCCATTAGAGGGAACCTTAGATGCACTTACATTAAGTCTATTTTGCGTGTTTATTTATTTTGCATATTCTATTTCAAGATGATATTTTGACACAAAAAGTGGCATTGGTTGTTACTCCCTACTTAATTTTTGCTGATGGGCAAGGTGTCTTAAAGTAAACCTCACTCATGATCAGCGCTTAAATGTAAGAACGTGTGGGTCTCTGATGAAGTAAGCTTGTACACTGATCACTTAAGTAAGGCTGCACGAGTTTTCTGCTGCGTTTGGTTCGACTAAACCTGTACCTTAGCGGCTAAAAGTGCACGTGGGTATCATCAGATCCCATGTGAAGCCGTATAATTTCAGTGCCGCAACGATGCTACTTAACGTTAACCTTTATAAAGGCTGCTTGGCTGCAAGCTTAGAAACTTCTTTCATGTCTACAAGGTCGAAAAACAGCGATTTTGTTTTGGTTTTATTAATTTCTGCGATTTTCTTTCTTTTAGTGTCATTTTTGCGAATTTTTCTGTTGCTCTATTTTCACTGTTTCCGCGGTAGTTGGTTTTATTTTCGCGATAACTGGCATTTGTCCTTGAATTTTCATGCCTGCCAGAAACCCGTTGCCATGGCAACACTTTTAGCCCCCCCCCCCCCCGCGCGGTCTAGGTAGGGGTAATACATGTACCACGGCTGATAAGAGACGGGGGATTGTTAAACCTACATTGTAAGTGTTTATTTGTTATACGTGCTGTCGACACCACAACATCCAAACTGTGCCGGTTAACCAGATTAAAACAAATTGGCTTGTTGGCTCAGGTAGTGACACATCTCACGAAAAAATTACTGTGTCGCGGCAACCAAAGATGCAAAAATACTCTCTGAACCCAGTAACTTTGCGCAGATCGCTGAGCAAAGGTTCCGTGTGCAGGGGCCAACGTCGACTGATCCGCAAACAGGGACCAAAGTCGTTCCGCCAACAGGGGCCTAAGGCTGTTCCTTCAAACCCTGTGTCCACATTTCCGCGAGCGAGCAGGCACACGCGAAAACACCATGGGCTGGATTGTGGCCGTCTGCGCCTTCGTGGTAATTGTGCAACATTTACCATCGGGTAAGACTTAGAAGTTACATGTAGAACTGTTTTTTTATTGTTATTGGGTGGGCTACTGGTGGCTACTGGTGGCCAAGGGGCTGGCTTGTGAGGAACTTACAATTATTGCCATGGGGCAAGGGTATGGAGCGACTGCCATTCTGCGCTAACTCAGGTGACCTCAATACGACCCCAGGCTATATGACTGTAAGGTTTTAGCCACACACACCGGGAAGGTCCCCTACTCTTTTCGATAAATGCGGTGGGGTGTGGCTCTCCCAAACACGAGACCTCCATTTAACGTCCTATCCGCGGGACGTCCCTAAAGCGACGGTCACAACTCGCCGTGCGTGCTTTTTGTCCGTACGTTTTTGTCATGGCTACGTCTGCTACGTTTTTTCTGCAAACGTAGGGTGGCCGGCCGAGGGAGTACGTCACTCGCACGGTTGCGCAAGGTGTACGTACGTGGTCTGCACGACACGCCTGGCCGTTAGCGGTTGCGTGCATCGTACGTTGCTCAAGTGGAAAGTGCGCTGTACGTGCTTACAACGCACGATCTCTGTGCGATTGCTACGTTGCCGCACAGGCACGTAGAGGCCGTACAGGCTGTACCTACACGTGCGGCGTACGCAAGGTTTCCTTACTCACTCGCACGTTGTAAGTGCGTGCACCTCCTGTTAGGTCCATCATCACTAGCCGCTCCGGTGTCTTCCGCGGCGCGTTTCTTTGGATCTTGTCTGGTAGTCTTCTTCTGAGCCTTCCTGGGCATCTTGGAGACGAGTTGGCAGTCGCCCGTCAAGTCGTCTTTGTATACGGTAGAAATCAGGTGCGTTGCACGTGCGTTGCACGTGTTCACACAGTTCCGCAGTTGGACAAGGAAGTTTCATTTCATTTCATTTCATTTATTTCGAAACCTTTTAGCCCCGAAGGGCTAATCTTCCAAGGCTCAAACATTATAGCAATTACAACATAGTGGAAACATTTAAAAATACATACATACATACATGTACACCACATCAACAATAAATACACATAGATATAAACAATTTAAAAGTGGCGAGCAAGGGTCAAGGATCAGGTGACACTACTACTGTTTGAAACGGCTTTCTTAAAACTGATAACATCGCACAGTGTCTTAACGTCAGGTGGTAGATCGTTCCAGAGCACGACTGCACGATACAGGAATGAGCGTTTTCTGCTGTTGGACTTAGGTATTGGTAATCTAAAGTTATGTGCGGAAGATCTGGTATTATGACTGTGAGATGCATGAACAGGCAAAAGGGAGTTGTAAATATTCCTGTTGTTGGTCGTCTGGTCTTTGGGGAGAGCCTGGTGGGAGTGGTGGCATGCGCAGATACGTTTCGCTTGTTCGTATGTCACCTGTTCCTCAAATACTCGGTAGCATTTTGACCCGTGGCTGTACCATTCGGGGCCGCACCTAGCTTCGGCTGCTGTGTCTGGAAGTGTACATGTACGCGGGAGGGGGGGGGGGGCGAGGCTGTACGTTAGTTGAATAAATGAACAGATCAGAAGTCTAGCTATTATAAAACTCGTCATGTGTATTTTACTCACTGCTTCAATGAAAATCATTCTCGCATGGAATACACGAATATAATTGGGTCGGAATTTCTTTGATAGCAATGTAAAAAGCAAGGATATATTTCGTGTCAATTAAAAAAAGGTATCTATTAAATGATGAAGATAAAAATTCCAAAAACCAGTAGACAGACATAGCCCGATGTACATTTCTATACAGATCGGTTTTGCATTTGGACCCGTGGCTGTACCATTCAGGGCCGCACCTAGTTTCTGGAGGTTGACATGTACAGGGGAGGTTACGTTTAGTTGAATAAATAAAGAAATCAGAAGACTATAGCAAATTATAAAACTCGCCATGTGTATTTTACTCACTGGTTCAATGAAAATCATTAAGGCATGGAGTACACGAATATTTGGGTCGAAATTTCTTTGATAGCAATGTAAAGATATATTTCGTGTCGATTAAAAAGTTATCTAATCAAATGATGAAGATAAAAATTCCAAAACCCAGTAGACAGACATAGCCCGATGTACATTTCTATACATATTGGTTTTGGATGGAGAAAATGTCGAGTGTTTAAACAAAAATGTTGTCCTACCGTCTGCACACCGGAGAACCTCCATTCTCATGCTGATATGGCCGTGCCAGTCTGAAGGATGGAACCGGACGAAGCGCGCTGTAACAGGCGGGTCTAGGCGATGCCGGACTTCGCTGTCCCTGTCGCTGTTTCCATCGAACACCTTTTTATTAGAGAAGACAATCTGTGTATCAAATGATGATATTTTCCGGACGTCTCTTACAAGATGTTGAGACGGTTAAGATGCTTGTTGATAGTTTTTAAGCGTCAGATCGGTTTAATTTTATTGTGGTTTGAATATCAGATCTACTATAAAGGATATTCGGAAAGAAATGAGATATTGCACATCATACTGTGCAGTTTCAGCACTCGTTAAGGTACGGGTATTTTATGCACATATGAAAGAATTATAAATCACTGGTTAATGTTGAAAGGGTACCGGTGGCTAACCTTTTCTTGTCCTTGTTCGGAGTAAGTGTTCCAGTTGCTGCCATCACAGCTATATTTTAGCTTGTAACGTTCTACCCACTGGTTTTCGTCAGCTCTCCCTTGTGTGATGACACCTGCTACTCTGGTCGGTGAATTCAGGTCAACCTTGGTTGAACGAGAAATAATATCAACCAGGCCTTTTTTAGGACATAATTTGAAAACGAACGAACATTATTGGCCACACCAATATCAACAAAAACTGACCTGGACACTAAGTTATAACGGAAACAGAAGTATAGATATGTTGAGCATATTTGTCTATATATGTAGCTACGTCAATA